CTCGAGGCGGGCAGACGTGGCAAGCCGAGGGCCGGACAACGGCGAGACGGCGGTGAAGTGGGTTGGGGGGGTGGCGTTGAAGAGGCCGGCCGGTTGGCAACAGCCGAGTTGGCCGGCCTGCAGCAGCCGGGGCGAGGCAAGGCCGTCCGGAAATCGGACGCCGGCCGGGGCCGAAGGGGGGAAAAGAGGCGCCGGCGGGTAGCCGGGGGGGAGAGGAAAGACGGTCGTCTTGACGCCGGTCTCCAAGTTCATGTGATGCTGTTGCTGTTGCTGTTGCTGCAATTGATGATGATGATGATGATGGTGATGATGCTGTTGCGGCTGGGATTGTCCGAGCACGGGCAGACCGGTCGTGAAGTGCACCGAGCCGGCAGAGGCTGGCGAGACGTTGGTACCGACGCCGGTCACTGTCTCGGTTGTCAAGGCGGCGGCGGCGGCGACTGCCGCCTGCTCGCGGAAGTAGAGCGCCACCTGCCGACGGAGGGTGGAGTTGCGAGGGCCGCGCTCGTGTTGGACGGCTGTGGAGAGAGCAGTGGGGTGGGGTCGACAAAAAACGGAGAAAATGAGAAGCGTGGCCAACAATCGGGGTCTCGTGAGGGACTCAAAGTCCGAATCTCTGACTCAGTCGACTCCTCTTGGCAACGCCGCAGGGTCGGCCGTCGCCCGTCCCTCGGTGCCCAGCAGATTCGAGCCGACAGACACAAACAGGAACTTTCACTCTCGTACACAAACACACACACACACACACACAGGATACCTTGATAATAGACAGACGATGGCGGAGAGAGGGAGAGCTAAATGCGCGAGTAATCATCCTGTCCTGGTATGATGAGGGTGTGGCGAAACGGTAAACAAACCTTCGGGAGTGAGTGAGGGAAAAAAAGTGTATGTTTTAGAAACAGCAACTCTTTCCTTTCGCAGATAAACACCGGCCGGCAGCCTGAACGTCGTAAAGCTGGCAACAACGAGAGCGAGAGAACCCACCGCAGCCAGTGAAACCGGCGGGGGAGGGGAAGTGGGG